AGGCAAAGCTATTCACAGAAAATTCCTGGCATGGACTGGAGAGATAGGTCAGCATTAAGAGTACTGACCACTCTTGCAGAGGACCTGGGTTTGATTCCCAGCACCCACATGGTGGCTGACAACTGTCTGTTCCAGGGGATCCGACGTCCTCTTCTGACCTCTGCAGGCATTGCACAACATAGGTGCACTTACATATATCCAGGCAATACACTCATACACCTAAAATATTTTTTAAAAGAAAAGAAAATTCCTGGTGTAAATCATCTAATCTTGTTCATCCCAAACCCTCTCCAATTTCAAAGTTGGTTTTAGCTTTGTATTCTATAAATGGACCCACTAGTCCATAGCAATACCTTAGAAATGGATGGAATTTCCCTGCTCCCCAGAACTGTACACTGACATAAACATACAGATCAGACACTTGCTGTTCCTTCTCTGACTCACCACATTGTGAATTCAGATACAGAACTAGGACCCATTCTCAAAAGAGAGGACAGACACAGGCTCCTGTTCTTTCTTTCTCCAGACACCTTTACTTGGGCAGAGCCAGCTTGGTTAACACTAGGATGCTTGATTTGTTCCTTCACAAGCAGGAGACTCTGTTCACTAAGGAAGTTTAAGCCTCACTTCAGCTCATCTCTACTTCTGTCCCTTACTTGCCTCAATCTTTCCTTTCATCTTAAATCTTTTTTATTTTCTCCCCTCTTGAAGATCCCAGCAATTCTTCTTGTCTCCAACCCTTCTTCCTGAATTGGTGTAGCAATGGCCCTGTCTTTAACTTCTCAGAAGAAATCAGGCCAATAGGTATACCAGAAGATCTGAGAACCCTACAGCTCAGTGGCAGGGACCAGCTGTGTGTTGCCACTGAACAGGCTCAGTTGTGTCCTCACCCATGTTTAAGACACAAGTTCTGTGGTTGAAGAAACCACAGGCACGGGCCATCATTCTCAGTTTCATACAGGATGCCAAATGTGAAAGAGCCTTTCCAGCTGCTGGTATTAGATCCAAGCCTCACATATGGAGGAAGAACATGTCATTAAAGCTGGTGGGCATTTCCTCAGGGCTTGCTTGGGTGTGGGGGGCTGTGGAGCTCAGGGGAGCAGTGATGATCCCCAAATACTGGTGGTGCTCAGAACCCACTGCCTCTGTCCGCATCACTGCTTCTCTGGGCCTCGCAGCTTAAGACCTCATGAGGAGTCCTGCCTCCGACTCCTGCCTGAATAATACCGGCTCTCTGGGTATAGTTTCCACTGTAGCTGATAGGACTAGTGATAAATATGCTCTCTTCCCATGGTAAGATATTCTAATTAAAATTTTTAAACCTAAAAAAATGTTTGTGAGCTAACCATTCTGCAAGTGGGACTGGGGCAGTATTTTTTTGTGCTCAGTGTCTTGGAACTCAGAGCAGGTAGGATGCCTTCCTATCCTTCAGCAACTAAAGTAATAAACACTAAGAGCTTAATGCTTATTTTTGAATTACATTTCATTTTGCCAATTGTGCAGAGCCTAGTCTAATTTAACAAAAGGCTTTGAGAAAAAAAAATACAGTAGAGCAGATGCACATAGCAACCATTAAATTAGGATACAAGCATGAGAGGCACACAGCGATGGGAGGCTTCTGCCAGAAGGAGCAGAAGCAGGCACAGGGATAATGACAGGCCCAAGGAAAGCTGGTGCTCTTGGATTTAGAGCAAAGGAGGTGGATCTGAGCCCAAAGCAACAGAGATTGGCCTCTAAGAACACTGCGGCCCCAAGTCCCCTCCTGACACTGTTATGATGCCTCCTCCTGTGACCATAAAGCCATAGATGGATTTTATTATCAATCTTATTACTTTTTAGGATCTCCGTGTGATTTTCCTAGCTCTTCCTTTTCATTACAATAAAATGCGTGGATAATGGGTCTATTTTGTATGCTGTGTTGTAAGAAGAAATCGAGAGCTGCCAGCTAGGGAGATGGACCGGCATAAGTGTTTCTAGGTAGGCCATCAGAGCAGAAAGCTTAGGAAGCTCTGTATGGGCCCAGAAAATCTGCGCCTTAGGACTAAAACCTGGAGAGATGCTGAGTGGTGGACATGCAGACTGGCTCAGCTACCTGGAGTGCCAAATGCACTTCAGTTTTCCAGGGCGGGGTTTGGCAACTTCTGCATGGCATCTCGGAAGGAAGGTGCCAGTGTCAGTTTCAATTTGCTGCTTTCCCCAGAACTCCTTCTCCCTCCCTTCTCTCTCTCTTCCCACCCATAACCAGGGGAGCCAGTGAGAGGGGCGCAGCATTTCCTCAGCTCTCACGGGTACCAGGGGACAGTGGAACCCCGTGAGGCGCCGGGCTCATCCCACAGGGATCCAGTGCCCACGTGGGCACATTGGTCCCGGCGCCGCGGGGGTTAAGGTGGGCGCCTGCGCCCCGCACCCTCTGGGATGAGCGCACAGTCCACGCCGCGCGCCAGCGGGCTAGCTCCGAGTAGGCACCGGGAGAAAGTGGCGGTCAGGGATAGAGCTGCTGCCATGACAACCCTGGCGGTCGGGGCCGGCGCGCCTCGAGGCTGCTCCCGGGAGGAAGGCGGCGCGGAGGCCGGGGGCGGCCGCTGAGCGTGGCGTCCGCGTCCCCGCGTCCCGTGCAGCGTCCCTGGAGGAGGCGGAGGCGCAGTCTGCCCAGCTCCCTGTGCGCCCAGAGCCTGCGCCGCGGCGCTCCGCGGGCTGGCAAGGGCCGGGCTGGCGGGAGTCGCCGACCGGCTGCGGGGAGGACAGCCACCGGGCGGAGGATCCGGGCTGCTCCGGCTGCGGGTCTCCGCGAGGAACTTTTTATCGCCTTGGGGGTTCAGAAAGGAGACTGGGGCTGGCTTCTAACTCTATCAGTACATATGTGTGATCTAATAAAATCCTTTCTCCTCTCCTTGAAGCAGGAGCTTTTTATGACATCTTTCTGTTAGAGACACTTGCCTTCTTTGGGTTATAAACTTTTGATGCCAGACCTCTGCAGAACGCGCCCAACTGAATCTTAAAGTAGCATCTTGGAGAGAGACAGAGAACGCACAATCTGTGACCTTCGTCCCTACTCCTTCCTTCCTCCACTCCCTCCCCTCGGCTCCCTCCGTCCCAGGGAGCGTCGAGAAAGCTCTTTTTTAATGCAGGAGGGGGCATCTGGTTCTGCTCGGCTGGAAAGCTGAGGTTGGAGCTGAGGACGAATTACTAGGCTCTGGAGAGCCTGGACTTTGCTTCTCCGTCTCCCCCTTTCTGCTCCGGCGTGCTCTACTGCTTTGATTTCGCCCTATACTACTTCCGGCTGTTGTGAGAGGGCAGGGGACAAGGACCTTGCTGCTGCGGGAGTTCTGGGAAGTTGCGGCTGTCGAGGATGGGGGTCTGTGGGTACCTGTTCCTGCCCTGGAAGTGCCTCGTGGTCGTGTCTCTCAGGCTGCTGTTCCTTGTACCCACAGGAGTGCCGGTGCGCAGCGGAGATGCCACCTTCCCCAAAGCTATGGACAACGTGACGGTCCGGCAGGGGGAGAGCGCCACCCTCAGGTAGGGAGCCTTCCTTCATCTGGGGACTGAACCCTTTGCACTGTCTTCAAGGGGAGGTGGGGCGAGGAAGAGAGAAAAGAAGGCTTGAAAGAGGGGCATTAGATAACCTGGGATGCCCTTTGCAGGCCCAAGAAGTGGCCACTTGTGTTCTCTGGTTGTTGATGCCATTTTTCCTAGACGGCTTTGCCATTTGGTCCTTTTTTGGTCAGTGATTTACAGGGACCACTGAAGTCTGCAGTTGAGACTCCATGGATCTATGGGGTCATGGCATGGCTAGATTAACATCGGACACCCAGTTGAAACCTGAAGACACTAGGAACACTGCATGGATAGCTGAAGGCCCTGGGATTTCTCTCCCAGGCCAGGAGAGTGTGGTGATGTAGGATTATCCTCAGCATGCTGGCCTGGCAAGCACCTTTCATGGGGAATGTCTCACAATTGAAGACTCTGGATTTCCAGTGCCAGGCCATGGACTTTTAAGTGCAGTGTGCCTGGGCCCTGATGTGAATTGTGAGGGCCTTTGTATTTTTACTGGCTGGGGCCAAGGAGCGGAAACATGTAGCTTTTATGCAAGGACATCACTCCTGTGTGAGAGACACAATAGGGAAGCTTTTTGTTTTAGCTTAATGAGTTACAGAGAATCACTTCCCTGCTCCAGGCAGAGGGGTGGAGATGCTTGGAATATGAACCTTTGGGGACTGGGCCTGCTGCAGCAAAGACTTTAATAAAAATGCAGCCACCACTTTCCACCAGCTCAGCAGATACCATCTTTTATCCCTTTAATGAGGCAGTTGTGGTCCTAGGAGACAGATTCAGGGACGTCCCAGCTTAACTATGTCTCACAATGTACACAGGGTGAATGCATTTGCCCTGCCTATGACTTTGATGGTTATGGTGAAAATAAAACATTCTGACCCAGATTCAGCAGCCAGAATGCTTGGCTTCTGCAAGGAGAAGATGAGGGTGGGGTTTCCTTCTTGCTGTTCCCTGTTCTTTCGTTGTGGTGTCTTTCCAGCACAGATGTAAGTCTTTCCCTGGGGAAAGAAGGAGAGCCTCTGAGAAACAGTTATTCTTTACCTCAACACCAGGGTCAAATTTGGACTCTTGCTGCCTTGGGTAATTCTTAGATGAATTTTCTTTTTAGCTAGTGAACAGGTCCCACATTCCTGTCTGCTAACCCTTGGGGGTCCGTGAAAGAAGAGCAGTGTCCCTTACAGACCGTGTAAGTTGCAAGTCCTTCCGACCCTATCAGCATCTCTTAGCCTATTCTAGATGAAAGTGCATTATCCTTACTTTATTGTTTCAAAGAAGGCTCCCAAGCCTGCTCCCTGAGATATGATTTGTGGGATGCACATTTGCAGTGGACCAGTGGCTCAAGGATACCATATCAATAGCACACAACCATGATGTATGTGAACCCAGAAATGTAGGCAGGCATTAGTACTGTAAAGGGGGGTTGAACACTGCAACATGCCTATGTACCTTACAATCTTCCCTTGGAGGCAAACTGGTCCATCAGTGAATAGGATCTCAGTGATGACTCTCCAAAATCTGCGGTCATCCTCCACCAGAATTAAACCAGGAACTTAGAAACCTAAGCTTTTGCCTCTGAGATGCAGTAAGATGATTCCACCAGCAGAGGGCTGGCTTTGATCTACCGTGTTTTTATTAGCTGCTGGCCTGTTTTCATGATCTTCTAATGTTTAACAGCTGGGCTTGGTAATGGGAATGGGAATAAAAAGGAAAAACTGAATAGTTGCTTTTCATGCTTTGTGGAAAACAACAACTTATATATTTAACTATAACTGTCACCAGTTACCCGATTTTTCCTGTAGATGATTTCTAAAAGCAAGCACATACAGTATGCTGGTTGTGCTTCTCTTCTGCACATTTTCCCTGGAATAGAGAAATCTGACCTGGTGTCCACATCCTAATCTCCATGTGTCCTCTGAATGTTACTTCCTGGAGTCCTCTCTTCTATTACTTTATTCTTTTATTTTTACAAGATGCCTCTACCTGATACTCTCTTCTTAATGCTCATTCTTATTTTGCTTCTTCTCTTCATCATTAATTCTTACTATTTTTCTGTTTTTAAAAAAAGTTTTAATTTCACTACTATATTAGAATTTCTTAAAAATCATAAACACATACACATTTCTACAGGTCTCAGTCTCTCTCCTTTTGTTTTTCACACAAATTTGTTTTAAGAGCTAATGGTTGTGTTTTTATCTTAACAATAAAACTTGCTCATCAGTCCTTTTGGGGAAAATCCTTGTCCTCAGTCAGTGGCAAGTCATGGTCTTGACCTCATATAAATATATAATTTTTACTTGATACCACTTTTCAGGTTTTAAAAACTATAATTCATGGAGTTGGAGAGACAGCTCAGCAGTTAAGAGCACTGGTTGTTTTTGCAGAGGGTTTGGTTCTCAGCAGGCACATGGCAGCTAACAACCATCCATAACTCCAGTTCTGGGGAATTTGACACCCTCTTTTGGTCTCTGCAGCCATTGCATGCACACGGTGCACTTACATACATTCAGGGAAAACATTCATACACATAAAATAACCTTAAAATATATAATTTGTCACTTATTTTTTTCCGGTGAGGCTCAAACCCAAGGCCTTATATGTGCTGGGAAAATGCTTTACCACTGAACTACCCCCACAGCCCTATAGCTTTATGTAAAGTCATTCTTAGATCACCTTAAAATAGTTCACTAGTGATTCACTGTTTTGGAATTTAGTGTTCAGAGTACATCAAAAACTAAATGATTCCTTTGCCTACCATCTGCAGAAATGGTACTGCCTCAGATCACATGACCTCTAGCCTATTTCTAAGTCTTAAACAAGTGAGATAAGGAGCAGAGACCTAGTAGGTAAAGCAAAGGTCCACCTTCAGATTTTCCCATGAGAAACTGACCAGCTTAGAGAAGACTGATTTCCTTCCTGGGGGAGATCACTTTTGTTGTGGCAGGTCATTGATTGCACTAAGGGACATTAGAAAGTGATGTGCCAAAGACGACTCTGAAGTTTTCAATGTGGATAAAAACTCATTTTGTGTAAGCGAGGTGATATTATATCCCTGTAACTACTTCATAGGGCTACTTGAAAAGTAAAAATAATTATTTTAATATTGAGTTATTTTGCCTTTTTGGAAGAGAGATGATATGGAAAATGAAGGTGCTATTCTTTATAGTTGAATTATAGTTTCTATGAATCTGATTTGAATTCATTATTATAAATGGGCCCTCTTGGCCAGAATCATTTCATTACAATTATGTGCTGTTGGGTTAAAAATGTTCTGTGCCTCTCCTTTAGATTAGGTATGACAAGTATCTAAGAGTCCTTTGTCTGAATCAATGCTCACATTAGGAGGGGAGCCCAGGGTCTGGGCACGGTCAACTGGCATCTATTAAGCCATCTCAGTGCGTCTGCCAGTCATATTTTCTCCGTGGACTTCAGGCACTTCTCCATTTGCTTCAGTTCCTCTGTGGGTCTTATTTCTCTGCACATGGTCATTTTAAGGGGTGCCATAGAAGAGTGGCAGGGCTTGTTATCAGTTTCACAAATTGGGAAGAGTTCCCACCAACCCAGTGACTTGTTTTATTGTTTTATTTGTTTGTTTGCTTTTCAGTAGCAGAATGATTATTTTGCTGATCCAGACCTGCTGATTTGGGATTATCCTTAATGGCTCATTTCTAAACTGTCCCTGCATTTTCATTTGGAGTTCAGGGCTAATCAATTCAGAACAAGGATGTGAGGTTTCACTACTGCCAAAGAATAATGTGGGTAATGGGATTTTGCCAAAGCAACTGGGGCAGTGGAACTCCCAAGGACAATATGCTGGTGTTTGCCTGGTGTTTTCCTGTACTGTGCACTCTCTCTCAGCAGCTTGTCCTTGGCTGTGTATTAAGTTCAGGGGAACCATCAGGTGATTCAAAGCACATTTGTGAGTTGTCTGTCTCAGTGTTGAAAGTGTGAAAGCTGGATAAGGACTACATCAATGTGAGGTAGTACTCTGGGTCTGGGAAGATGGGGACATGAAAAGATACACAAACAGGTATAGTCCTATAAAGAATCTCCGACATGGTGATGCTAACTAACCTGGACTGCTTGTTGAAGGTACTTGAGACACTATTTAGAAATTCCACTTGGGACTGAGCATAGGTAGAATACACGATTAGCATGAGTGAGGCCCTGGGTTCCATTCCCAGGATGAATTAAAAAATAAAATTCCAATGCCATGCTCAGAGACTAAGGGAATGAACATCCCTGGAGGTGACCCTGAATGTGGGCATTTAAAACTCTCCTCCAGCATTTTTGAAGTGAGCCATAATTGAGAACCACAGCTCTAAAGGGATTTCTGCCTTATAACATCTGAATGACGCTATTTTTCAGAGTCCTTCCTCTGAAATGTCTGAAATGTCTCTTCCATGCCATGGATGAGCCTCAAAGCTATGTTAGTGCTCTAGAAAGAGCAAGGTTCAGTGCCTGAACACCTCAGGCTGATTCTTATTTTATCTTCAACTGGCCCTCTGATCATGAGCAATTCAGTAAAACTGTATACATATGGGAACAATTTCTGCCTTATCTGTGGCATCAGGAGTTGTTCTCTTAATATTAGGGCCATATATATCCCTTGTGTGTATCAAAATCCAGGGATACTTACTTCCCTTACAGATGATAGAGGAATTTCCTTATAACTGATGCACACTCTCACACAAACTTTAAATCATTCCCAGATTACTTATATTATTTAATAAAATGCAAATGCTATGTAAATAGTTGTTACCCTCTGTTGCATAGGAAGCAATGAGAAGAACATGTTTAGTAGATATGCACTTGATTCTTTAGTATATCTTATCTGTGGTTGTTGAATCTATGGACTTAGACGGTAGAGATGAAAGGCTGCTGCATGTGCTAGTTGCTACTGAGACTAAATGCAACTCCTTAGTAACAATTGATGGTATTCTCATTTTATTCCTGTCTTATCTAGT